ACACAGTAGGCTAATCATCTTTTGGGAGATGGTTGGGGGTGTCATGTAGATGTGCAGTAAGGTTTCGGAATTTTGATTTTGCTCCGGGGGGTCAAATGGGGGTCGAAAAATGACGTTTTTTATGCAAAAAGCCCCGTCTTCCCTGAACTCCTCTTACATTTAACACAGTAGGCTAATCATCTTTTGGGAGATGGTTGGGGGTGTCATGTAGATGTGCAGTAAGGTTTCGGAATTTTGATTTTGCCCCGGGGGTCAAATGGGGGTCGAAAAATGACATTTTTTATGCAAAAAGCCCCGTCTTCCCTGAACTCCTCTTACATTTTACACAGTAGGCTAATCATCTTTAGGGAGATGGTTGATAGTGTCATTTAGATGTGCAGCAAGGTTTTGGAATTTTGATATTGCCCTGGGAGGTCATATGGGGTTGGAAAAATGACATTTTTTGTGCCAAAAGTCCTGTCTTTCCTGAAGTCCTCCTTAATGTTACTCAGAAGCCTAATCATCTTTGAGGAGAGTTAAATATCTTGAAAATTATGTAAAACATCAATGTTAAAGAGTAACAAGATGTGTTTGTGAAACACTATGGGCCCGGCGGCAACAAAGTTAAAAAAATCTGTTTTTAGCATATTGGTCACAGTCAAGGTCACAAGGTCATTGGCCGTGGTGTCATTTGAAAGAACTTAATCAGTGGAGTATGCATCTTAAATATGAAGTCCCTATCTCCTATGATTCAAAAGTTATGGCAAAAAGTGTAAAAAGCTATTTTTAGCATATAGGTCACAGTCAAGGTCACAAGATCATTGACTTTGTTGTCAACTGAAAGGGCTTTATTACTGGAGTATGCATACCAAATATGAAGTCCCTATCTCTTATGGTTAAAAAGTTACGACAAACAGTGGAAAAAGCTATTTTTAGCATATAGGTCACAGTCAAGGTCACAAGGTCATTGACCTTGACTTCATTTGAAAGGACTTTATTAGTGGAGTATGCATACCAAATATGAAGTCTCTATCTCTTATTGTTCAAAAGTTATGGCCAAGGTTAAAGTTGACGACAGACAAACAGACAAACAGATAAACAGACAAACAGACAAACAGACAGACAGGACAAAAACAATATACGCCCGGGATCTATCGATCCGGGCGCATAAAAAACATTGCAAGCTGGAAAACAGCTTGAATTTTTATGAGTAATTAATGTACATGTCAAATGTGAGAGTCATATCTCATCTCAATCAAAAGTTATAAGCAAATGCAACATTTTTGAAAAGTAGGTTAGGTTTCAAGGTCAAGGTCACAGAGTAAAAGTCATGATTCATTTGGAAGGTCTTATCACAGGTAATAATATACATGCATTATAATATGAATGCCCTAACTTTTCTCTTTCAAAATGATGAATTTATAACAATTTAATTTTTTTGCAAGTAGGTCAAACTTCTAGGTCATATGTAAAAAAAAAAAAAACCATGCCATTCTCACAGGTAAATACTAGTACATAAGTTTAATATGAATGCCTTGTCTCTTCTCATTCAGTAGATATGACCGTGATAACCAAGGTTAATTTTATTCAGACAGAAGAACAGTCTGACATACAAATGTACATATTTCTATATGAATTGCATGGGTAAAATTGGACCAGTGGTTCTAGAAAAGTTAAAAATGTAAAAAGTTTTCAGACAAACAGATGGACAACATGTCACAACAGACGTTATATGACAAGGAAACCAGAAAAGCTCAAATGAGTGTTTTGAAAGGGTTACAATATGGTTGCAGTACTTGAAAGCTGTTTTTTTTTTTCATGCAGAGATATGCATGACCAACATATTCATGTTTTATATTTTCTTTAGTAATTTGTTTGTTGTGAATACATCTCTCATTGGAATTTTTCCGTCATATGGAGACACCACCAAATAATAATGAAGACAAGATGTGTTTGTGAAACACTGATGTCCCTGTCTGGTAGCCTATGGCGAAGGTTGAAGTTTCTCAAATATATGTCAAACTCAAAGGTCAAGGTCAAAGGATTCAAATTGTTGGTATCAGAAAAAAGTCTTGTCACAAGGAATGCACATGTGAAATAAGTAATCCCTAGTACTTCCTCTTCAAAAGTTAATTGCCAAGGTTAATTTTTTAAGTGGTTCAAACTCTACGGTCAAGGTCAAACATATTTATACCTGTTGACAGTTCACAATGAATACACATGTTAAGCATGAAAGCCCTAGCACCTACTGATCAAAATTTAAGCCAAGTTTAAAGTTGGGTATTTTTCTTGTAAAAATGTTTATTCTAGGTCAAGTGATCAGAGGTAAAAATTAATGTTACCCAAATAAAAGGTCTTAATTGTCACAAGAAATAAACCTATAAAATGTGGAAGCCAATTGTATAGCCCATCCCACTTAAAACTTATGGGCAAGGTTATAATTTCTGCAGACAAATAGAAAGACATAATATAAACACAAGAAACAAAATATGTACATAATTAGTCAAATGGAAAAAAATATACTATTTAATTGGAATCACAAAATATATTGTTATTTCATTGATAGTGAGTGGGTAGGGAGATTGGCCCTCCCCCCCACCCCCACCCCCTGGAATTTCCTTTGTTATTAAACAAGACTATATACTGAAGCAAATAAAAAATGACTTTGGACATCCTCCCCCTAACTAAGAAAACATTGGGGTTTCTTTTGTTTATTTGTTTTCAGTGTATGAGTTTTTTTCTCCTGCTTGTCAGGAAATTCTAGGCATGAATTTTTTGACTGAGATGTGAACCCCCCACCCTACTCCCGAAAAAAAAAATCTGGATCCGCACCAGTATTGGCAGTAACTGAATGTCACATCGACAAGGGGAGATAACTTCACAATATGAAATTCGTCTAGTGTGGCATGCGATGATCTTTGACCCTTTTTGAACTTTAACCTAATCGTTTGGGTTTATTTTACCCCCCACTATACTTAAACTTGTACTTACCGACCTCCATAGGTCTTGTAAACTTCATGAAATATAAATCCATATTATAACACAAAATGAATTAATCCAAAGCACACCATTCTGCAGCATGTTATAATGATATTCCATTCGGAAAACCTTCGTGCCATCGATTCCGTCACCTTATCAGATGAAGTGGGAATTGGCCGAGGTGTACCGAATGAAGTTTAATCTAAAAATATGATAATGGGTGACGCAACGTGATGTGATGTAGAATTTACATGTCAAGAACAAATTTTACATTAATTCATAACAAACAATGTTTTAACAAACCTTTTCCATCTAGCCTATTCCCAAATGTGTGATTGTGGTGTCGAGAAGGGGGGGGGTTAGTAAATTTAAAAAGGTCCTATTATGAGCAAAACATTTATCAAAATCTAATTTACATTATTAATAGAATTCAAACTGGTATATAATGAATTAAGCATGTAAAATAAATATAAGAGGTTCTGAGTTATAAGTCACAGGGATAATTTCATACCCAATTTGATGAATACATGTAAATTACAGGCACGTAGAAACCGGGGGGGGGGGGGCTGCCCCCCATTTTTTCCCAACATTACCTTTACTTTCGGAAATGTCCATTGAAAAGATGATTGCCCCCCCCCCCACTTTTTACCACAGTATATACATTGCAAGGAAATATGGGAAAAAATTGGAAGTGAAAGTAATTTTGCCTTGAAAAAAAAAGTGGACACTACCCCCCCCCCCTTTCATTTTTTTTCCTTGTTAATTTTTTTAGGTTAGTAAAAAAAAAAATTCTCAGGTTGCCCCCCCCCCCCCCCCCCACTTTCAAAAACGATGCTACGTGCCTGAATTATATAGAATTATTTTGATTTTTTCCTTGGTAAGCCACCCGTAGGATTGTGTTTTTAGAGGCAAACACCTTAGTGCGGGTACTACTGTCTCATGACAGCATCTAGTTAATTATATTTAAAGAAACACTAGCTATATGAACGCAGATTTGTGTTTGAATTGAAATTATTTAACGATTTTAAACACGTGACGAGTAATATAAAAATAAAACTCTCCACAAAATTTTACTGTTTTTGTAATAACAAAACAATTAAGTAATATCTGCATTAAATGATTCAGTATTTTCATGAATTTTGATGAAAGAAGTGCCTAAACTGTGTATAAAGAACACATGTCAAAGAGAAATAAAAGAAAGCGTGGTATGTTGCATTTTAACAACGATTATTAATAAAAGATTACAGTAAAACACGGTTATAGCGAAGTCCTGGGGACCTGTGAATTTAATTCGCTATATCCGTAATTCGCTATATCCGTATAATGAATTCGTATAAGCATATAAAGCGAATTCGCAATATGCATGTTTTCCTTCTAGAATTAATATCAAATATGTTAGGGAAGCAAATATTAGAAAACATACCTTCAATAACTAAGGTTTTATTATGAATTGAATTTTATATACAAATGCTGAGAGAAAATAAAGTCAGTTCAATTATTTAAATTTTGAAATCTTTGAAAGTTCGTTATAAAAGATTAGAATTCATTATATTTAACCTCAATGGGATTCGTTTTATCTGTAAATTCGTTGTATCAGAGTTCGTTATAACCGTAAAATTTTACAAAAATTTGTTAAGAATTTTGCCGGGGACCCAGAAAAACTTCGTTATATCCGTGAATTCGCTATAACTGTGTTTGTACTAAACGTGTTTTACTGTAATACGTGTCAAAGTAGATGGTTGATGTTGATTACATAAAAAGAAAAGTATAATTAACAGAAAGACGCATGCTATCCACGTTTTCATGACGCCATGTTTGTCCTTCAATCTAAAAGTAGCGACAGAGAAAAGTGATAGATTTATTTAGAAAAAGCCATTTCTCCTGTCATGATTATCAATATTTATAGTTATCATTTGATATCTTTATTATGCGTTAAATTTTAATGGTGTTATATTCAATATATTTGTAAAGTTTCTTGGTATAAATTTCCAACCGTTTTTAAATAAGTGCACGTTATGGCGTATTTTACTTTTATATTTTAGACATTCCTATAAACTCTGCTGTATAGATTACATTTATTTCTGTTGAGAATGATCCAAATTGCCTGGGTTGAGACAGCATTACTTGTATTAATGGTATGTATTCAGAAGCAAAATTTAATTGATATTAACTGATATTTTCTCAAGAGAAAATGAAGAATGAATCCATTGAAGAATATTATTGCAGCCCGGAGGACCGGGCTGCTTTATACATTTAAGAAATAAGGTATCATTTTTTGAGTTTTATTGAGATGTAAAACGGGCTGGTCACGTGATCAAATCCCATAAAGCCCGAAGATTTGTTCCAACCCGTTTTACATCTCAATAAAACTCAAAAAAATGAGACCTTATTACTTATATTTACATATATATACATTTGTGGTATCTCTCCATTATATAAACACACAGAGAGAAAGTAAAGAGGTCAATACGTGACCAAATCACACGGCGCAATAATATCTACCGGTAAATAAATTATAAAATGACCTGCTCTACTTGCTTTTCATGTATAAAAATGAACAAAATAAGCAAGTAAAATGATAATTATTTTATTTACAATGTAAACAAGTATTTTATACAGTTTCTTGGCTATCGATTCAACCTCTGTACATAGAGAAAACTAGCGTTTACAATTTTTTTTTTCACTTTTGTCAGCTGCACAGTCTCTAGGGCCTAACGTTCATCCTTATTTTTGGTGTAGACCTTTCGTTAAATTTTCATGATAAACTAGGCTATTATTTTATCTTTAAATTCTACTCACGATAAATGTGTAAATCTGTAGGAAGATACCATTGCAACAATCATGCCACGAACAGCTGCCAAACACCTTGGCGTTTTCGTAGTTCAAAGTAAAGCTGTCGACAGTGTCTCCGTGTTTATCAGTGTTTTACGATAAGTATGCCCTTAGTTACTGTAATCGTAGAATGATTTTGATCATATTGCAAATTAACTGGCTCGGACAAGAGTCTCAATCCATAGGATTCATCAATCCCTTTCCGGCGACCGAAATTCCTCCAACTTTTTATCATCGATCTTCGGACATGTTTCTTGTGTCTTTTCAGCATTGATTATCAATTTTAAAATTGAAAATATTCCCAGACAACAATCTGTTCACTTTTACTGATCACGAGTAGCCTTTCACAAAATATTCCCTTCGAAATAGATTCCTTAGCCTAACGAATTCGAAGCGTAACCGCCATGCAAGCCGATTTTCACCTTGCGTCATTTTTTTCAAAATTTACGACGGACGGTTAGTGCAATAAATAAATTCGAAGATATTCAATTGTCTGTCTCAAATGTATATATAAGTAATAAATAACAAGTTTATAAACTTCAATGGGAATTGAAGTGGGTCGGTACGTGATCAAATCTTATGAGAAGGCCTTCAGCCTTCACAGGATTTGATCACGTGACCGACCCACTTCAATTCCCATTGAAGTTTGTAAACTTGTTATTTATTTCTTAATTGTGACTTATCTATACTTTATATTTGCCTAATTGTTACTTTTAACGTGTAAAATACGTTAATTTTTCAAACCCAACGGCATGTACAGGGTGTCCCATAATATATGATACCATTTTAAATAACTGTCATATATGCAAGCCTTGGCTAATTTCTTTGAATTTTGTCTCATTAAATACTTGAATACATACAATTTTTAGCAACAAATGATTTCAGTTAAAAATTGTCACATAGTTGTAATAAAATTGCCACATACTTTCGTCAAAAAATTGCTAAAAATGCTTGTCAAGCAAAATGGATTACCGATAATCTTTGACAAAAAAGCTGGGTATACCCTCATTTTAAAAATTAATTATCAAATCCAGTCTTAAGATATTGTTACTAACCGTAAATATAAATCTTCAATGTGTAAAAAGACATATTTCATATGGAAATACAGATTATAACCAAAGCAAACCGCAGCTGTTGTCTTAAGTTATGGAATTTTGTGCAATGTCTTGACATGATCATTACCCAGATTTGACGTCATGTAGGGGACAAAATTGAAAAATGATAGCAATTTTCAAAGTGAACTCATTTTGTCGTGTTTCTTTCAATGACCACCAAATTGTGTAAATAAATTTGGACAATATATGTAATGTTAATGGTGCATTTGTTCTTATTCCAAATTCATTGCATTATATTTTATATGATCATGAAATGGTATCTTATAACATGGGACACCCTGTATGTAATCCACTAAACGCGCGTCGAACCTTTATGACGTCACAAGAAAATTACGTCGAACGTTTATCCAAACGCACATCTATGACCTCTTGACCCCATACCTGTATTTATACAGTTATAAAAACGCTTGCCTTTAGTAGTGTTATATTAAGGAAAACATTTGCAAATGTAAACATATCAGTTTAAGTGTTGGTGTATAGGGATTTGTGTGGGAGTAGTTATTTAGAATTTCAGGTTGAAAAGATTGTTCAACAGAAGTTCTTTCGGTTTAAAAATTACGAAATATATTATATAATTACTTCCATAAAGTGAATCTGTAAAAGTATATATGTTTTTCATATTTAAAACATAAATTTGCTTATCATTTACTATCGAAAAAAAACGACAGGTCCCTTTCTTTAGAACACCGAATTTTACTTCTCGCATAAAAAACGTACTCTGCACAGTTCGTATTTTATATTCTAAAATTGAAAATTAATACATTTTTGAATATAGATGATGCATGTGTCTCATTTTAATCAATATCTTTGCAGCCAATATTTAATTGATGAATTGATCAAATTTAGAATGATATCGTTTTTGTTTGATTTTTATCCGACTATAAGTTTTCAAAACATTCGCGACTATCGTCTCCATCAATTAGACGCATGCCTTTTCACTGATTTCGAAGCAGTTTGATGATCAAGACTCAATTTCTTTGTTCACGTTAAATATTTCCGGGCGACAATTGATGGTTACATCAATGTTTTCTTGTTCATTTTTATGAAGGTCTATATGAGATCAGCAGACACAGCATCTTGTCCACATACACGATTTACAATGAGAAGTGTCACATCATGCCCTAAAAGTAAAGAAGAATGGGATCGTCGAGCTGAAATAAAAAAATGTTCACTTGTTTCACAGCAGTGTGGGGAGCTTGAGGAATCTGTTTATCATTGCGTAATTAATAATTTCGCCAACCAAACCTTCGAAGTCTGCGCTCCAAAAGTTTTAATAATTGGTAAATCAACAATTATAACAGAGATATTTACATCTTTTATGTATCGTCATTTTCAAAAATATGAATGAACACAAAATGTACAATGTAATGACTATCCAGCATGTAGCTTAACCTTCACAATATTTAACTTTAATATTTAGACGCCCAGTTTCCATAGAATTAAGAAATGATTTAAATTTTTAAAGATTCATGAGGTTATGAACTACGTCGCTTCTCGCCGGCATATTTCACGAAGCGCGTCAGCGCTTCGTGATAAATATGCCGGCGTGAAGCGTTGTAGTTCATATACCTCATGCATCTTGAAGTTAAAAATATTCATTTCTTATATTTACATTATTTTTCTGAAAACTTGCCATAAATTTACGCCGTTCAACTGTCATTTTAAATCAAAACAGTGTGCACTATATTTTTTTGACTTTCTGACGTCAAAAGCGGTATTATGACGTAGCAATGGAGATATTCATGCTTATTCGTGGTACATACCTAATGTAGTTCATGAGAAAAATATACTACATTTAATTTTGAAAGAATCATAGGAGAAATTTATTGGAAATGTAAATATTAAATGGTGAACAACGTTCACAAAGTGTCATGTCATACCAGCTGTTTTTAAACCTCCCAGCTCTTTTTTTATTTTCATTACACCCATTAGGTAAGTATGCTGTTCGAATCTTCCCCGTAAGTTCACATATCAATATTTGTAAATTTTAGAGAAATATATTCTAAAATACCCCTGACTCTTCTTTCTAGGCCTCTGGAATTACTTTGCATATACTCAAGGAGTATACCATAACAGATCTAGAATGTCACTTAATACATCGTTAAGAAACACCTTTAAGGGGGGACCTATGTCCGAAAAGTCTTTGTGTGAAATTTTCAAAACTTTGACATTTCTTTCCTGACCACTTGATCTTTATTTTTAGGTATTAAAAACAATTCCTTTATATGCTTATTTTTACACAGGAGCACGTGCAAAAACGGTGTGAAATGCTAAAAATAGATTATTTTCAGACGTTATTGTTCTACTACAAATATGCGCTAAAAAGAACCAAAAATGTCAAATCACATTCGAAATCAACATGTATTTAATTTATATGACTAGAATCTTTAAAATGAAGGCAAATTCATTGTAATTCATCTTGCATGAAAAATTATACAGGAGCACAATGTAAGTATCACCCCGTTTTTCTTGTCGTATTTTTTACAATTCCGACTTGCATAACAGGTAATATCTTAAAAAGTCTTTGTGTGAAAATATGGTAATTCGTATTTTTTGAAAGAAATCACCCCTCTATTTATTTTAACAAGGAAAGAAGTATACCTTTATGATAAAAAAAAAAACGAGAAATATAATGTTTCTTTTATTTTCGTACTCTTTTGTGATAAAGATTGACCTTTCTGCACTAAAAAAAGGTAAGTTAGCACTGACAAACATCTGAATATAAAACTTTTTTGCAAAAAACGAGTATTTTGTTTTGATAAGAAATAATTTAAACAGATATACTCTTTTTTCTTCATTCTAATCATTCTGCTCCCCCCTCCCCGTCAACAACCAACACCTAATAGGAATGACTTTATACAATAAAATCTACATATACTATAAATCAATAAGTAAATATAGGAACAAGTATATTTCTTTATTTTTTCTTAGTTTTATCCAGAAAATACAATTAATAGTAATCACAAAATTAAACATATTTCCCTAATTTAAGCCACTGTCTTTGCTGAATTTTATCTTATATTTTTTGCATTTTTATATCAGCATATCATAGAGGTATTTCTTCACAACTGAAATTGCTATGAATTATCAACCGAATAAAGAGAATTCTGATAATAACAAACTCCATAAATCAAATAAAACTGTTTTAAATGATGAAAAAAAAATTATTTTTGTAAAATGTGTACGTTTTTGATTAATAACATTGTTATGCCTATAATCACAGTTGTAAAAGTCAGCGGGAAAAAAAAAAACAAACGTCGCTATTGTGACGTCACATAACGCTGCTTTGACGTCGAACGACATAGGTCCCCCCTTAAATTATGTCTTCAGCATTGATGAGCCAATAATAGCGCTTGATCGTTTTCGATTTTCTTTGAGTTGCTTTTTTTTCAGACAAAATGAAAAAAAAGTGTTTAATGTGCAAATAAAGTACCTTATGATTTCAGATTTGCTGCTATACACGTAAATACATACACAAAACATGGATGTCTAATGAAAGATGCACGAAAAAAAGATTGGGGAGATTTCTTTAACATAAAAAAAGATTTATTAAAAAAACACATTATTTGTGAATATTATTTTCTTAACCTATGGGGAAAATATTCATAAAACTACAGTTGCGTGCCATAATGAGTTCGCAAAATGGACGACTTCGCGTCATAAACTTTCGGTATTTAAAATTTTGGTTTGTATTTTTTTTTAATAAAAATAAAAATCTCCTACCTTTCTTGGTCAATACTTTGTGATATGTCCCCTAGAACGTAATACTGCCCGAATCCTTCTTGGAAGGCTTTGGTATAGACTACGAATGTAGACGAAAGGGAGATTACTCCAAGTGTCTTGAACAACTCGTTTCAGGTCGTAGGCATTTCCTATCTCATTCGTTCTCCTTTGCACACGTAATTTTAACATTTTCCACACATTTTCAATAATGTTAAGGTCTGGGCTCTGTGCAGGCCAGGGAAGTGCTACGATATTATTATTCTGCTTCCATTCGTTTGATCTGGCGGACACATGACACGGGGCGTTATCCTCTTGAAAAACCAAGCGGCGATTTGTAAAATGTCTAGCAATCACGGGCCAAAGACACTCGTCCAAAACTTTAATATACTTTTCACTGTTCATGTTTCCATCCACCACGTCCAATGTACCAACTCCATGAAACGAAATACAGACCCAGAACATGACTGATGCTCAACGTGTCGTCTCCCTATCACCACGCAAACCAAGGCACTCCGATTTTAATCTCTCATCTGCTTTTCTCCAAGCATGTACTTTATTATTATTTCCTAACATTATCTTCGCTTCATCAATACAAATGATCGACGCCCAATGATTCGGCACAGTCCAGTGTAGTTTTTGCCTGCAAACGACTTTTTTTCATGATTAGTCCTAGAGACTGTTGCTTTCTTTGAAACAACGCAACGTTTGTACCCTTCTTTATATAGTCGTCTTTTTACAGTCCTGAAGGACACACCACACTTAGTTCTTGCATTAACTCTCCCTGTAGTGTTTTTAAGGGTCTGCCTTCTATTCTTTTTTACACTCCGCATCAGACACCTGTCATCCCGCACCGTCGTTTTTCTTCTCCTTCCACTTCATGGCAAATTTTCAGCACTTCCTCCTTCACGCACACGTTTCAGAAATTTTTGGATTGTTCTTGCATGTATTCCTATTACATCCTGTATTTTGTAGCTTGAATAACCCTCCTTAGACATCTGCAGAATTATTTCTTTTAGCTCTGTCGTCAACTCTTTGCCATGAGGCGCCATGTCGTTGAGCAGACGATTATTGTTTATCATAGGGGAATAATACAGTTTGATTTGCAATTTAAAAAATGATTACGTCTTACGAGTTTTTATGCCGGAAATCGTATACGGGTATGTCGTAGTTAATTTGTAGAAACATTTTATTTTATATTTACTGCATAAAAAATTACTAAGTCGGCCATTTAGCGAACTCATTTATGGCACGCGACTGTAGCATACATAGACAGTGGAATGAGCAACTTCGTTATGGACATTTTCCCGAAATTGCAAACCCTTTTCCTTTAAAGCTATCCTCTTTGGATGTGTTTTTAATGGTGTTTTTTTTCTCACTTAAATGCATTTCTGAAATTCAATTTATGCATTCGCTACTATTGTCTATTCAATTGACAAGATCAATAAAATAAAACAATTTTAGTAAATATAAGTAATGTGTATTTGGCTTTTCTTTACATACATGTATTTTTAGATATTCAAATGATGCAATTATCAACAAATAGTTTTAAACTCTAAAACATCTTCGAATCTTTTTTTATTCGAATAAATTCACTTTCTTTAAAAACATACAAAAATATATCAATTATTCAAATAAATAGATCACTTTAAATAATCAAAAGCTAAAAGAGTCTCCCAATGCCTAAACCATTATTTAATTGGATTGCCTTTAAAAATGATGAAATGATAATTTGTGGTGTGGAACTCCTCCTTAATATGAATTTCAAAACTAGCAAACGTATACGTATAACAACTTGTTCATGCATGAAAACCTGACTGACGTATTTTTTTTTTTCATATTTTTTATACAGGTTTTAGAAAAGCACAGGGAAGTTATGTAACAAAATACTAAAATTAAGTAATTTTTGTTACTTGAGTGTATGTTGAGAAATTTTTTGAATAAAAACCCTGATATTTCTGGGTATTTTTTTTTTTTTGCATTTGAAGAAAATTTCTCGGATACAAGTCCTACAATAAAAGAAGATTTAAAATAAAAATAATTTAAGTCGCGGTTATATTGCAGATTATCTTGACTATCTTCATTCACATCGCCTTGTTCAGTGTCACTTTTTAAGTCACCTGGGTAATTTCAGGTGAGCTATTGCTATTCGATTTTGTCCGTCGTGCGTCGTTCGTTAACATTTGAACATTTCAGCTACTTCTTTTAAACCACTGAACCAATTTCAACCAATTTTGGCATATAGCATATATAGGTAGAGGGGAACAAAAATTGTGAATTTCATGGTCCTTGCCCCCTAGGGGGGCCTAGCGAGAGTGGCCAAAACCACTGAAATTAGTGCAATTTTCAAAAATCTTCTTCTTTACTAATAGATATCAAGCAGTCAAACTAATTGTATGGTTATAATCAGCATTAAGGGTACATACCACAAACAAGAAATGGATGCGCGGGTTGATATATATATTTTTTGACTGATTTTGATTTGTATTGATATAAACAATAAATCCCTGAAATATAAAGAAATCGTAGGTTTTCCTTGGTGCTTAGATTTGAGATTTTATTTTGCTTTCTATATAATTCTATACAAAATTTTGCAAATTTTTTAACTTTATGACAAAATCTTATAAAATTCTCCCACTCTACTTTGTAAACATTATTCAGGTTGTCATTTTAAATGTAAATCTATGAGAAATAATGCTGATTTCCATGTTTTGATATATATTGTTTTACGGTAATGTGTAAAGAGGAATAAGTCGTCGTATCAAATGTTATTCAGAAGCCTCTATATGTGACGTCATAAGTAAGAATGTAATGGCAATGTCCATTTTTTGCTATAGGAAACCTAAAATACATGTCGATTAAAAAAGTAAAATAGAAGGTGCACAATGCCAATATGTAATAAAGATTCTGTGAAAGTTTCATTAAATTTCACTCAGTAGTTAAAGAGGAGTTGCGGATAAGAGATGGGTATATGTATCGCAAAGCGTAACAGACGGACGGACGGACATAAGGACTACTGTAAACCCTCCAACTTTTAAAGCGGGGGGTATAAGAAATACAGGAAAAATCAAGATCAAAAAATGATCGTATCTGTAAACTCTCATCACTTGACCAGATTTAATTAATAAAGTCTGATTTTTTTTTGGTTAAATTCTATGAGTCGTCCTTCCAATTCTACACTCGAATTGTTTTCTATAAGCCTGAAGCGGCTATGTTTTTTTTTTTCAAATGATATACAGGATGATGTACATGCACATTGATTTTTTTCATGACCCAATTAAAAGATCAGTAATTTTGATTTGAATTTTGATGAATTTGAAGGAACATATAAATTGAGACATTCGAAATAAAATAATTGAATAATTGGCACGCACATGTACGCTCGAGGTATTCTTGTACTGTATCTTGGGATGATGAAATTACGCAGGTAGGTTAAGGTTACAACCAAATATTCTACTTGCATTTATGATATGACGTCACAGTAAGTTTATGACGTGAACTTTAAAGATAAAATTTCTTAAAATCGATATCTTATATTCATTTGAGGTCGTAAAAATAAATAAAAATATATAGAGTCATAATATAAACGGAATTTTGTCGTTCCTGAGCCTCGGTAGTTATCACAGGGGTTACATACCAAACCCGTGACGTCATAACTATTGATCATGCAGTAGCAGAGTGAAAGTGAAACGTAACGAGAATTGATGTAAACAAACACAAAAAATCGGAGTTTAAAAGCATTTAGAATGAATACCATGTGTGATTCTTGTCGGAATAAAGCGTATGAATAAGGTATGCTAATATAATTTTACAGTTTCTTCGTAAAATTAAAGCATGGAGGGTGTTTACTTGCCGCCAGCCTTTCCTTTGTCGTTCGTAACAAAAAAGATGCAAATGTTCAACACTACGCCGCATACCTTGAAACTTAATTTTTGTTTCTTTTTAAAGTTCTTATTCTTTTGTTTTTGGAAAGTGCTGCTAGAATCGTATGGTTTACGGGAATTGGTGCATTTTTTTTCGATGTTATGAACAAAATGTTAAAATTTTGGGAAAGTTTCGGTCGAAATTGTTGAATAATTATTTCTATAATTGAACAGTAGGATTCTAGCATTATTTTTCATGGTATAGAGATGTTTTAACATAAGTATTATTACTAATTGAAACTAATTATCCCCGGGGTAGTGTTAAACTTTTCACTTTTTCATTAAGGCATTTTTTCTAATTATAGACGTCACGTGATGACGTCGTAGTGAAGTGCCTCCTGTCGTAGAAGTCCAATTGAAGTCCAATTGAAGTCTATAGAATGCATTATTATAGCAAAAGTTTTATCCTTGACTTTTCCGATTTATTAGTGTTAAGAGTTAAAAGTGTTTTTTCGCCGAATTCTGATCCATGTGCTGCCTTAACAAACCCGCGTATACAATTTGTCAAAGATCAGTTATTTTTCTTTTCTTATCTTTTTTTGAGTTAGAATTGGAATGCCAATTATCAACTTTTTTTTCTTTTACGCATTGACTGATATATATACCCAATTCATATTAAATCTTATCAATTGACTTTAAATACTGGTATAAAAACTAAAGAAAAAATAAATAGGTAAATATTCATGTATATCTCTACATGAAAATTAAGACTTTTATTTATTAATTGCTTAAAAAAGGAAAGAACATAAATAGATATATCATACAGCCCCGCTTATTAAACTGAATAAATATAAAACAATATTTTGCAATTATCATAATAGATTTACAGTGGACCTTCAGATATCCGGACGCCAGATATCCGGATGCTTCAGTATCCGGACGATTTCTCATCGGAACGAAATTTTTAAATGCTATTTTGTCTTGTTTAACTGGTGATTCAGATATCCGGATGCTTCACATATCCGGACAAATTGACTGGGAACCAAAGCGTCCGGATAAATGAGGGTCCACTGTATACTGTACATGAATTCACAATTGTTTGTATGTACAGTGTTTGGATTCATATCGAATAACATCACACATTCTATCTTTAATGCTAATCGACAGATCAATATGCCATTGTGATTGGTCGACGCGCTGATTGGTTAATCGTTAATCCTGATTGACAGTTCCGTAAAGAAATACCGAATGCGCGTTCGATTTCTGGGATCTCTACTGAATAAGGGGTCCGCTCTCTGGGTGCGCCACGGGTTCGCTCTAGGTCCGCTTCGGTTTCGCTCGGGGTCTGCTCCGGGTTCGCCCCGGGTCCCCTCTGGGTTTGCTCGGGGTCAGCCCAAGCGGACCCCAAGCGAACCCGAAGCGGACCCAGAGGGTCCACTCCGGGTTCGCTTTCTGTTAGGTTGTGTTCGGTCGGTACTGTATCACAATTTCTGTACTTTTGCATAAAACATTAATTTCATGATAACCTGAACTTATCTGCTTCATGAATATGCTGTAAACGACAAACTTTTGATTATTTAATTTTTGAAATGATTTTTTTTTTAATCATAATATGTAAAACAGGTCATTCTTGTGTGGAGTACAATATACGAGGAGGAATAGTTCAAGAAAGTCAATATGTAAAGTGTGCAGAGTCATGTCCATTCTCATACACATCTACAGACGTGTATAAATGTAAGTAAAATGTATGAGAGAGTGAGTCGGAGAATGAAAGAGAAAGAGTGATTTGTCAACAATGAACAAACTAGAAGCGTTGATCAACGTTAAAAGCAGTAAACATTCGTAGATATTCCCAAGATTTAACAAATTCATAAGAACCCCATTTGCTCCGTGCTTTATGAATAGCTTTAATTATACTTATAAAAATTTCATTAAACATTAGAGATTTGTCAGAAAATTAACCTTAAAGGATACATTGCTCATAGGTACTGCATATTTTATTTTATGATATAAACTGAAAGGGATAGGAAACTTAGGGTAAACTTTTGAATTAAAATAATTTTTAATCTTCCTTATGTATTTTCAAGAACAATGTACATTGAATCCCTGCCTAATGTTTAGAACCATCTTTTATGAAAATATAACCAAAAACTCATTTGATTTTGACTCATAGTTTTATGAGCCGATGAAACTGATAAATGAAAATGGAAAATTCTCATTGTATTCAATGTCTCCGCAAATTTGTTACAGTCTTGATTCACCTTTGCTTGGAGTTCATCAGTTAGTTTATCTTTGAAATAAAGATATACCCTTTCAACAAGATAGACCATATTTGAAAAGAAACAGCGTGGGCAAACCAATCCTACTCAGTCACACATATATTTAATGAGAATAAGACGGACTTAATAGAGACCAGGCGATTAGGTAAATGAGATTGTTTGCAAGGAAGTCTTGAAAAACCAAGGTTACATTGGGTCTAGGCAATCCGGGAGTAAATTTGCCGACAAAAAATAGGCAAACGACACATGCTCCCACCAATGAAAGGAACACCAACGTTTAAGTTGAGCAGCTCATAAAACAGAATCGCGCAACCGGTTTCTTGCAGTTAAATTGTGTATATAATAATAATAAATGCCTGCTCATGGTAGAATGGTGGCGATTAAACAAGGTGCTGGATGGATAAAATGATATTTGCCTGGTTCCTTTACGCGTCATCGTCTCCGTTGGAAACCATTCTAGGTACTCTCTAACAACTATTCTGATGTTCTATGGGGGTATTTACAAGCGAGTACACTAAATACCTGTTGGCTTTGCGTTGTCCTTTTTTAAGCAGTGTAAAAGTCACACCCAATGGAAATTCTGTCAACTGCAGCTGTTGCACAAAATTCAAATCATCAGTATTGACTTGAAATTGAAAAACAATGTCTATACCTCGATCAAATAGATCAAATGGTATAAAAAGATCGTTGAAATACATGTCAACATCACGATGCTCGTTTTGTTGCTTTTTAGCACTTACCATACGTGACATCATACATTTGAATAATCTTGAAAACTGATTTCACAGCATAGTAATCAAAACTATCTTCTGACCACTTTTTGTAATTGTTGGTATTTCGATCACAAAAATCCCAAAACATGTTACACTCTGCTTCCTTTTTTTTTCATTTCAGTATATACACTTTCAAATTTGTCTTAGGTCTTTCCACCCTAACAATTCTAATGGCTCAAAGTACAATAAGTGCATATATTTTCATTCAATACACTATGAATTTTTAAATTATTCAAAACATGAACAGGGTGTTTCACAATATATGTCACACATCTAAAGACAGATGAATAAATTACAACAAAAGCTAAGTATACATTTTATATATCATTTTAATCAGCAGACCTATATTTAAAATTATTAGTTGAGTCAGAAGTATCCAACTCAATTTCAATTATTATGACAACAAATCCTAAAAAGTTGTTCTTCAAGTGTTTCCCAACATTGTTCCTTTAAGGGACTCGTACTTAGAAATTTCTGAAAACTATTGTGTAAGTTTCAAGGGATAATTGAGATATTTCTTGTTTAATATCTGGCTTTTTATAACCCCCAAATTGCATAATACATACGATTTTTACAAAAATATTACGTTCCATCAATTAAAACTAAATCATTCTGACTTGTTTTTTCATAAGAAATATTTTGAAATACAACAGATTTATACAGAAGCATTTATTTTTACAAAAACGTCATTGTCCACAAACTTTTTGGACAACCCTCGGTTTTTATTTCAAGTTGATTTTCAATAAATGTGTTGTTTCAGAATTACCGTCATGGGTAGGTGTCAACTCCCTTCGCTCTTCCTTTCAATCAATCGTACAAACTTTAACCGGGCTCTGAACATCAACTGGCTTTAAATGCTTAATCATTTATGCAGACACACTCAATACAAACTTAAGATATCTGAATACACCTGATACACTTACCGGCATTGTTACAATCCATTTCCAAAAACTCATATCTTACTTGTGTAAGGTTTTTCTAATAATTGACTTCACTTTGATAATGTTCCCATCTCATGCTTTTGCTTCAATTTTTTTGTCGTGCGCTGTACCTCTCAATCAACGATATCAACATACCGATAATTTTAGTAGAATTTTTTTTTTAAAATACAGAAATTTTGCCCAAAATTTATTGGAATCTTTACGATACATATTTCTGTGAAATTTTATTACTATATGACGTCTGTAAGAGTAAATAATAGCACAGTCCGCGTTATTTTTGAACGGCCCTCGAAGTTCCTACTTAATAAGATAATTCCGAATTGTCAGTATTCGGTAAACTCTTTCATATTAAAAGTACATGAAGCAAAGTCCGAATGAAGAGATCTGTTTAGGAATTATTACCCTTGTCAACATTTTTTCAAAAATTAAATGATTATTTAAATGAATAAAATATTCATTTTATAAATTCTTTTCTTTACAACATTTATTAGTATACCTATTGAAAAGCATTGTTTCAAGAGATCTTGTTTATCAGGTATAAATTTAAACTAAAAAGAGTTTATAAAAATATTTTGTCAACATTATTAAAATAGATATGAAAGGAAATCGATGTTACCTATTATTTGATAAGTTCTATGGTTGATGCTATGAACTCGTCTGAAAATACAATTGATCATTGATTCAAATGTTGACTGACTTTTTACATACTGATTGTGAGGTCACTTTTTACAAATTGAGATGTCTACAGAGTTTTCCTTTTTTCGAACATGACAAAGACCACACGGCGGAAGTGACAGATCAGCAGGGCTTACTCACTCATCCATGTCACCCTTTCAGACCTCTGGAGGCCCGTGTTTGCTCCGCTCTTATTTTGAAATGTGAAATTGACTTTTGAGCTTGAATTCTGCTTATTATCTCCATACATTTCATTAAAAAATATGAAAGAAATTATCAGTTTTTGACGGGTATACGGGATTTATTTTGAAACGCGTATAAACCTATTTTTAGCGCACCTGAGCCGAAGGCTCAAGTGAGCTTTTCTGATCACATTTTGTACGGCGTCAGTCCGTCCATCTGTCCGTCCGTCTGTCTGTCTGTCTGTCTGTAAACTTTTCACAATTTTGACTTCTTCTCAAGAACCGCTGGGCCAATTTCAACCAAACTTGCCACAAAGTATCCTTGGGTAAAGTGGATTCAAGTTTGTTCAAATTAAGGGTCACGCCCTTTTCCAAGGAGAGGAATTTATGAATAAGAAAAAAAATTAATGGCATTTTTTAAAAAAATCTTCTTCTCAAGAACCACTGGGCCAGGAAAGATGACACTCATGTGGAATCATCCTAAGGTAGTGTAGATTCAAATTTGTTCAAATCATGACCCCCAGGGCAAGGGTTGGGCCAAAATGGCCGACCCAAGTTTTACATAGGAATATAAAGGAAAACTCTTTCAAAATCTTCTTCTCAAGAACCATTGTGCCAGGAAAGTTGAAACTAATGTAAAATTATCTTCAAATAGTGTAGATTTGAGTTTGTTCAAATCATGACCCACAGGGCTAGGGTGGGGCCAAAATGGTCGACCCGAGTTTTACATAGGAATAAATAGGAAAACTTTTTTAAAATCTTCTTCTCAAGAACCACTGGGCCAGGAAAGATGAAACTCATGTGGAATCAGCTTAAGTAGGCTTAGTGTAGATTCAAATTTGTTTAAATCATGATCCTTGGGGCTAAGGTGGGGCCAAAACGGCCGATCAAAAATTTACATAGGAATATAAAGGAAAACTCTTTAAAAATCTTCTTCTCAAGAACCACTGGGCCAGGAAAGACGAGACTCATGTGGAATCGTCCTCAGGTAGTGTAGATTTAAGTTTGTTCAAATCATGACCCACGGGGTAAGGGCGGGGCCAAAATGGCCGATCAAAGTTTTACATAGGAATATATAGGGAAACTCTTTATAAGTTTTCTTCTCAAGAACCACTGGGCCAGGAAAGATGAAACTCATGTGGAATCATCCTCAGGTATTGTAGATTCAAATTTGTTCAAATCATTACCCCAAGGGCTAGGGTGGGGCCAAAATGGCCAATCAAAGTTTTATATAGGAATATATAGGAAAAATCTTTAAAAAACTTCTCAAGAACCATTGAGACAGGATAGATGAAACTCATGTAAAATTATCCTCAGGTAGTGTAGATTCAAGTTTGTTCAAATCATGACCCCCAGGACCAGGGTGGGGCCAAAATTGCCGACCCAAGTTTTACATAGGGATATATAGGGAAACCTTTTAAAATCTCCTTTTCAAGTATTCCAACCCATGATTAGTGATATTTATATGGAATCATCCTCTGGTAGTGTAGATTCTAGTTTGTTCAAATCATGAACCCTTGGGGGGGGGGGGGGGGAATTCAAGCCCCCCCCCCCCTACCTCAGTAAATTTTTAGTTCTGATCTGATATGTGCTTTTTCCTAGCCGATGTGCTCAGGTGAGCGATGTGGCCCCCAGGCTTCTTGTTTTAATAATTTGTAAAATTCGATTCAGCGTCATGCCCTCTGCGAAAATCTGATATGAAGTTTAACAATAATTATTGTTTTTGATAAATTTGAAAGTAATTCTTCTTTTTAAACAGATCAGGACTGTTTTAAACTGAATGAGAGAAAAACTTGGACAGAAGCTAACGCTACTGACATCAATTCGAACTTCAAGATCTCTAGGTACTCCTTTTATTGCCTCATTGACATCATAAAAAGAAAAGGATGTACTATGAATATGATTGATGTTTTGTATGTGTATTGATTTAATTCCCATTTGTATAATGACGCCACCAGTTGCCTGTGGAGAGCTATGCTCGACACTACACTCAGCAGGTAGTTATCTTTTTGTGCCAACAGCTACTGCGGTACGGGACTTTTATGAAGTATTTTATACGGTCTTTTATGAAGTACGAGTGTTGCAAACCACTTTTAAAAAAAAATTCAAAGTGCATTAAAATTGGGACAAAATCAACGCAATTTGATTTTTTTAAGTACCTTAAATTTTGAACACACTCAACGGACTTTGAAAAAAAAAATCAAAGTGCGTTAAGAGTGTTCAAGATTTATATTTTAGTAAATAAGAGAATCAATTTGTAATACCGTAAATATATCTTTCGAAAACGCTAATTTATATGTACTCATTAAACCTCATTGAGAACAAGAAGAAGATGATATAAGGTTTTCTCAGTCACACTCTTTTTCTTATACTTAACCGTTCGAAGGAAATCAAAAGTGCCCCCCCCAGGTAAGTCCAAATTTTCAATGAATAGTATATCTATCTTTGCAAAACATTCGTGAGCCTAAGCCCTCTCCTCCCTCCTGGTCCCGATGCCTATGCTACACCCAAATAAATTTATTTGCATAACTAGTATGACGTTGGTAAACTTTAAAAAAAAAAATACTTTACATAAATTGCACGCAGAATGGAAAAAAAGTACAGTTAAACATTTAAGAGAAAAAGAATTTCAAAAAATTGGAAAAATCAAAATCGCACACTTTCACACCCTGAAGTGACCTTATCACCGAAAAGTTATCAAACAGGTTCAATTATTCATTATACGTAAGATTTACAAGAATATCGACCATACATTTTTTTTCTAAAGTGTGTTAATTTGATCGATATTAACGCACTTAAAAGAAATTTTATTTTTTCAAAGTGCGTTTATTTGGTCTCCAATTTCACGCACTTTTCAATTTTCATTTGAACCTGCAACATAAGGATCATTTCCTTACTTCGCAGCTTTAGAGTGAATACTATACCACTGCCCCACGCGGGCGACTATTTCATGCTCATGTATTGAAAAGTCGAAGCGGATATCTACGAATCCAGGACACAACCCCGACTCACCTCGGATCTACTGTTCAATTTATCAGAATATTGTTTTTCTTTTCATAACCATAAAAAAGTTAATCCTTTGTTATGTCCACATTCTTGACATTCTTACCCTACGGTTAATTATTTAACCAAACCTAAATCCACCTTGCATAAAGAAGCTTCATATAACTGTTCTTAATACGCATACTATTTCTAAAATGACATCTTTTTTTATTCTTCTACTTAATACTGTTCATGATATTTGATCTCAAATTTTAGCTGCATCCAAAACAGCTTAATTTAATGAAATAAATATATAGAAATCTGCCTATCCTATGAATATTTGCAACTAAGAATGATTTTTTGTTTGTTGCATTTGAATAAATTTGTTTATATAGAATCCTTCTTTTTTTAATTTAATTTCTGATCCTCTTAATGACCACTCTTTACCGGGGTAAAGTTATGGAAATGCAGCAACCAAATAATTTTTCGGGCAACATGGTAAAAAATAAGAAATTAAGAAACAAAGTTTTCGAGTGTTTACACATACTACCGAGAGCTACAGGTATAAAGACGGATCCTTTAAATGTAAAGTTTTTGACCCATTTGAATGAATGAATGCATAGAATATAATAGAAATTCTAGAAATGTAATTCTAAGTTGGTCTTTATCTAGTATACACTGCACTTAAACTTAAAATTTTTTTTATCAAAAGATCAATGAACTTTTTTAGTATAAAGGGCACTCAATTGCTTATTTTAGAAGTATTGTCATAACATGGAAGAGGTGAATGGAAATGACATGGTATCTAAACAGGTGAAGCATTCAATTTGCTTATTGTTTGAAAATTTTAAGGCTAAATTAAAAAACATGCCAGAAAATTTACCAAAATTTATAGTTTCTGTAAAGTAGAGTTAAAAGAGTTTTAAAAAGCAGTAACATAAAACTGTAATTTAATTTTTCACCCTTTAATTTCTTAATTTTGTTAACTCTGTAAGTGAAAAAAATGCTTTAAAACAGTAAATACTCTTCATTTTAATTTGATGCACGAAATATCGGCCTCCTTAAGTTGACCTTCAATATATTTTTAGCTCAACTGAGCCAAAGGCTCAAGTGAGCTATTCTGATCAAAATTTGTCCGTTGTGTGTTGTCGTCGTTGTTGTCGTTGTTGTCGTCGTCGTCCTTGTCGTCGTCTTTGTAAACTTTTCACATTTTCTACTTCTCCTCAAGAACCACTGGGCCAATTTCAACCAATCTAGCTACAAAGTATCCTTGTGTAAAGGGGATTCAAATTTGTTCATATGAAGGGCCACGCCCTTTTCCAAGGGGAGATAATTATGAATTAGAGAAAAATTAATGGCATTTTTAAAAAATCTTCTCCTCAAGAACCACTGGGCCAGGAAAGATGAAACTCATGTGGAATCATGACCAGGTAGAGTAGATTCATGTTCGTTCAAATTATGACCCCTGGGGGTAGGGTGGGGCCAAAATGGCCGATCAAAGTTTTACATAGGATTATATAGGAAAAATCTTAAAAAATCTTCTTCTCAAGAACCACTGGGTCAGGAAGGATGAAACCCATGTGGAATCATCACCAGGTAGTGTAGATTCAAGTTTGTTCAAATCATGACCCCTGGGGGTAGGATGGGGCCAAAATGGCCGATCAAACTTTTACATAGGAATATATAGGAAAAATCTTTAAAAATCTTCTTCTTAAGCCATAATTGATCATACTTATATGGAAGCATCCTCAGGTAGTGTAGATTCAAGTTTGTACAAATCATGACCCCCGGGAGTAAGGTGGGGCCAAAATGGCTGATCAAACTTTTACATAGGAATATATAGGAAAAATCTTTAAAAATCTTCTTCTGAAGAACCACTGGGTCAGGAAGGATGAAACTCATGTGGAATCATCACCAGGTAGTGTAGATTCATGTTTGTTCAAATCATGACTTCCGGGAGTAGGGTGGGGCCAAAATGGCAGATAAAATTTTCACATAGGAATATGTATGTATAGGGAAACCTTTGAAAATCCTCTTTTCAAGTACTTCAAATCCATGCTTAGTGATATTTGTTGAATCATCCTCAGGTAGTGTTGATTCGAGTTTGTTCAAACCAGGAGGTTAAAATTCAAGCCCCCCCCCCCCCCAACTCAGTAAACTTTCAGTTTGGATCTGATATGTGCCTTTTCCTAGCAAATTGCTCAGGTGAGCGATGTGGCCCCTGGGCCTCTTGTTTATTTCTGACTTGTCTTAGAAAAACTCTTTTTTTAATCAAATATTGAGAAATTTTCAGATGCTATTACCTGATAGTTCATTTAGAAATAAACTGTACAAATTGGTATGTTAATAACAGCATCAGAGGTGCGGTCAATGGGATGATTGCTTGCAGGTACTTTTGCTCTTTTTCACTGCATGTACATGTATTACATGTTTTCAATGAGAGTCCATAACTCTGAAATTGTTGAGCCAAAGGCTCAAGTGAGCTATTGTGATTAAAATTTGTCCGTTGTCTCTCGTCGTTGGCGTCGTCGTCGTTGTTGCTTTCGAAAACTTAGTATTTGGGGCCACAATGGTGTATCCAAGTTTTACATTAAAATCTACTTTAAAAAATCTTTCTAAAGAATAACAAAGCCATGATTAGTGATATTGATATGGAAGCATCATCTGGTACGTAGTGTAGAATGAAATTTTTTCGATTCATAACCTCCAGATAGGTAGGGAGGGGTCTCAATGCTGGATCAAAGTTTTACATAAGAAAACCCATATGAAAAAATACTATTATAATTCAATCTGAGTATTCAATTGACTACGAGTTGACGGTCAACTGACCATCAATTGATCATTAGTTGAATTTTTGCCATGCAAATGAGGGAGCGGTCAACTCATTTGCATAAAGTGGACCACTGTTGAATGTTCCTATATATATATATTCTTTGCAGTTGACCGTTAGTTGAATACTCCACCATTTCCTTTACAGTTGACCACTAGTTGAATACTCCACTATTTTCTTTGCAGTTGACCGCTAGTTGATTACTCCTCTATTTCCATTGCAGTTGACTGCTAGTTGAATACTCCACTATTTCCCTTACAGTTGACCGCTAATTGATTACCTGGTACTCCTCTATTTACTTTGCAGTTGACCGCTAGTTGAATACTCCATTAGTCAGTGCACGTAGGTTGCTTTCATTAAATTTCTGAAAAAAATGGAGGGAGGTTTGAAATCTAAGACAAGCAGTGTTCTTGAAAATATGAAAAGTCAAACCAATAGAGTTTCTAATTTGACATAAATGTACTTGTAAATCTAAATGCATTATAAATGAATTGAGCTGGCACACTCTCATAAGTTGTTACATGCCTTCTTCATTTTCTGGGCAGAAAAGGTTACATGTATATATAGCAATGGTATATTTTTTACCAACACAACAATATTTACATTTCCAATGTCTTTGTCCGAGATAAAATTACCAATTGTAAATGTAATTTATTTCCTCATGAATGTTTTGGCGCGGTTCCAAAAAAAAAAAACACGTGCAGGGCGGGACAACACCTAGAGAGAAGCAGGCTTGGAGCCCGTGGATTTGCGGAATCAAAGCATGTAAATATAAGGAATAACTGTCAGATTTTTCGAATTCATGAAGATGATCAATGGATTGGCTTGTGTGATAATTTTATGCATAAACGCCTTCGGCGTTTATACAAATTATCACACAAACCAATCCATTGAGCACTTTATGAATTCGAAAAATAAGACAGTTATTCCTTAAAGAAACACAACAAAACACTTGATGCATAACAAGTTTTTCAGAATTCTTTCAATATTTAAAAAGTACACAAAAATAGGGAGTTTAAGGACCTATACTGGCTAGAGTTTTTTGTATTCCTATTATCTGTTTAAAAATAACAAGCTTAGTAAAAAAAATCTTAAAATTTAATATACTTATAAT